AAGAGCAATGGTGTCTCTCTGGAGACTAAGGTGCATCTGATACAGGACATGGTCTTTGCAATCACTTGTGCATCAGAGAGCTGGACAATGACTAAGGATGATAGAAGGAGAATTGATGCCTTTGAGCTGTGGTGCTGGAGAAGAGTATTGAAGGTACCATGGATGCTAGGAAAACAAACAGATTCACCCTGGAAAGGGTCAAACCGGGCGGCTCTTTGGAGGCAAGGATTCTGAGGCTCCATCTAACATACTTTGGACATGTTATAAGGAGGGACCGGTCCTTGGAGAGGGACATCATGCTTAGTAGGGTGTAGGGACAGTGTAGGAGGGGAAGGCTCTCTATGAGGTGGATTGATTCAGTGACTGGGGCAATTGGGATGGGTGTGTCGGAGATGGTGCGATTGGCACAGGACAGAGCGAAGTTTAGGGCTGTTGTACATAGGGTGGCTATGAGTCGCAAGCAACTCAACGGCACATAACAAGAACAAGAACAAGAACAAGAACAAGAACAAGAACAAGAACAAGAACAAGAACAACAACATTATAATTACAAGAAACCCTCTTAACTCAGTGTTTAAGCTCTTAGATGCTAATTGAAAAGGTTGAGTTTTGTGTTAGTGTCTCTGGGTAGAAAGATGTGGCAATATGCTTCCTAAATATTACCATCCAGAAAACCCTGTGAGGCAGTTCTACATCCTCACATGAGGCTATTAGAAGTAGGATTTGATAGGTCACAACACAGCTGTGATTATAGAAAACGAACCACATAACACTCGTTTTTCACCTGTCAGTTTTTATCACTTAGCATTATCAGGACTATAGTTAATAGTTTCAACATTCTTTTAATGTTTGCCTAATTTTCCATCTCATACGTATGTTATTTCTGTTCATATGTTACTATTTTTCCATTACTTTATCCTTGGACCATTCCAATCTCTGTAGACTTTCCTTTAATTTAGCACCACTTCTTTCTTCACTTCATGTTGGATTTTTAAAAATTTTTTATTTTAAAAGACTCTTTATAACGGAGAAAGGAAAAGAATTAACTCTTCTTGGGCTCCCAGATGATCTTTTGGCGGCCAGACGTTTCCTTGCTTCTCTAACTTCTGAAATTCCTTCCTTGTCTCAAAGGAGCATCCAGGTTTATTTGTTCTTTTGGCAGTCCCAATACTCTGCTTCAACACCAAAATGCAAAAGCATTCGTTCTTCTGTCATCTTTAGTCACTGTCCACCTCTAACCTTTGGCCGTCTCGCCAGTCATCCAGCTGACTTCCAGAGTGGAGGGAGAATCCTTCAGTAGGTATTCCTCTGATGGTTTCTGCCAGAGACCCGCTGCACGCATCTGGAGGCAGCTGGTCGACTCGGCAGCAGAGGGCACTCTTGCAGAAGTCAGGCTTTCGGCTGGAGCAGCGGGGGACGGGAATAGAAGTAGGGTGAGCCGCACAGCTCGACATTCCTCTCTCCCCGTGGGCTTCGGAAGGTCGGGGTGGGCTTGAGGGAGTTGAGTGGGTCGACTTGAGGTGACTGAGGGACTAGGGCTGGGAACTTGGCTTTGCACTGGGAAGACTATCCTCGAGAGCCGGGAGGGCGGGGATCTGGGCGGGACCAGGGCGGGACCTGCAGGCCGAACCCGGCCATGTGACGAGGCTGGTGGGCGGAGCGCGCACTCCACGCTGACCCGGCTGATTGTGTAGCGGCGGCCAGACTAGTGCGCTCGCCGAGGCTATGGGGAGACCCACGTCGGAGCTGGCTTCGTCTTTTCTGGGGCTGCTACTGCTGCTGCTGTGTTGTCCCCAGGGATGTCCTGGAAGGGCCGAACCCCCAGCCCCGCCCGATAAGATCGGTAGGCGAGCCGGGGCTTGCGAGGGATGGGGTGCTAGAGCGCGCGCCCTGCCTATGCAGGGCGGCCGCTGTTGCAGTGCAGCGAGCGCCAGGGGCCAGGCCGCAGCCAGGCTGCCTTCAGTCTTCTTGGGACAGGACCTTGCATGGCTAGCGTCCGCTGCAGCCGAGGGCCCTCCCACCGCTACCACTTTTGTGCCTGTCAGTCTTCTAAGTTGATCGTGGAGCCACGGGCCGCTTTCAATGGTGGGTGACAGGCAAACGCAGCAAGTAGCGCCGCTGACCTTCCTGTTGGGTTTTCCGCGGTGGGCTGACACTCTCCTCCCTCATCTCCGCTCTGCGGAGGTCGGAGGTCGCCAGCTCTCTAAGGGCCCCCTGCCTGGCGCAGTTCCCCTCGGCCCTTGGCTGTACAGCTGCCCAAAGAATCAATTCTTTTTCTAGCTTTAGTCTTGTAGTAGTACGTGTTGTGCATCCGTCCATCCCCTATTCTTCCTTTCGCAAAGCTGTGCTCTTTGGAATCACTAACCTTTCTACATTAATGAGAAGAAATGTAGGCAAAAATGGAGGGTGCTTTTTTAAGACGAGAACTGAATAGGCCCAGCCTGTTCTGTTCCCACGAGTTGGGCACAAAAACACAAAGAAGGGTGTGCAGGCCTGTTGGTGCCTGTCAACGAGGCACCAATGAATCTTTGCGCAAAGGAAAGGCGTGATTGATGATGATAAGCTTAATCTACCTCGGCTCTCGTCTGAGGGCATAGTATTTGTGTCCATTCATAGAGTGCCATAGAGTCACTTGCCCTCTTTTTGGAGACTTCCCTAAATTGTTGGTCATGTTTGCAAGTAACCACTGTGCCTGTCTCACAAATGAAAGAAAAATAAACGATTGACCTTTTTCTCTGTAGCAATTATTGGAGCTGGAATTGGTGGCACTTCAGCAGCCTATTACCTTCGACAGAAATTTGGAAAGGATGTGAAGATCGACGTGTTTGAAAGAGGAGAGGTGGGTGGCCGATTGGCCACAGAAACCTTGGACGGTCGGGAGTATGAGGCAGGAGGCTCTATCATCCACCCTTTAAATCTGCATATGAAGCGTTTTGTCAAGGACCTGGGTAGGTAATTTTGCTTTTAGGAACTAAGCAGATCTCTGAGTGGCCATCCAGTTATCCTTTTTATCTAATGAGGAATGGACACTTATGCCTTGCTACTGGTCTTTTATAGAAAAGTTGTTCTAACTGTTTTCCTTACCTTGGTGTTGACAGTATTTATTGCCTTAGAAGTAGCTCCCTTGTAAGGGGACACTGGTTATCTGTATCTCCAGTGATCTGGAATTACAGCTGCAAGGTAGGGGTATGAGTGCCTACTGCTGTCAGCTCAAGAACCTCTGGGTTTTTAGAGAATCAAAGAAAGCTTTGAGCTAACAGGAACCCGAGGAAATGAGGCCCAAAGGCAGGAAAGAACTGACTTTAATGTTGCACAGGTGTGGGGGTGGACAAGTGCTTGGAACTTGGGACTTCTGACTGTGTCCCTGCCAGGCGGGGTGCTGGACAAACTTGGGAGAAGTCTGGTAGGCTTCTGCAGGACCTTTTCCCTCAGAGACTCTGTCCTGTGTAATCTGAGCCTCCTTCCAGTCATGTTGAGAGCTCTGGTGGCACAAGTTGCTCTGCTTACCCAAAGGCTGCAAGTCTGTGGTGGTTCTAATCCACCAGTGGCAGTGGCTTCACAGGAGAAAGATGGACAGGCTTCTCGTGGGTGATTTACAGCCTTGGGAACCCGATGCCAGGTTGCTAGCAATTGGAACTGACTGGGCAGCAATGAGAGTTTTTCCAAGTTTCCAAGCATTTGAAATACCCAATTATACAAAATAGGATTCACATAGGAATAGAAGGGCTTCCTTTTCTTCAGAGGCCTTCCACATAACCTGTGGATACCTGCTGGTCCTCTAATCTCTTTTTTGAAGCCAAACTCTGAGGAGGAGCATTTTGTGCCTTGGGGATTCCTATGTATATGGTTTTTAACTGAATTAAGATGGTACTCTGGTTTTCCCTTTGCCTTGTTTTCGAGTGCTTCGTCTCTCGGATTCTATGACCTATTTTCTAGAGAATCTTCTTTTGGACGGTGTAGTAGTATGTCACAGTGTTCTACTGAGAGCTGAGGGAAAGCCAGAATTTGCTCACTTCAGTGTCTCCTGCTAACTTCAAATTACCTTCTTTCATTTGATGAGCATAGAAACCACAGACTTATCTCCCTTTTCTCTGTTTTTGCAGGTCTCTCTGCTGTAGAGGGCTCTTCTGGCTTAATGGGAGTGTATGATGGAGAGAAACTGGTGTTCGAGGAGAGCCGCTGGTTTATAATTAATATAATGAAACTAATTTGGCAGTATGGATTTCAGTTCCTCCGAATGCACATGTGGGTAGAGGATGTATTGGATAAATTCATGAGGTAATATCCCCCTTTCCATTTAACCCAAACCTTTTTAATTTGATGAGTGTTAGGAATTATACTTTCTTGCACCAGTTGTCTACTCGACTGCATGCTATGCAAACATTTTTTTATAGTAAATATGCAGATTATTTCTCCATTAGAGAGCTCTGGTAGTGTAGTCTATAGAGAACTGTGTTACTAAACCTCAGGTCAGAATCCACCAGCAATTCCAGGGAAGAAAGATAGGCAGTCTTCTCCTCCCCTGAGATTTACAGCTACCCAAAACTGGATGGAGCATCAGCTGTGAGTTGGTTATGATACGATAGCAGTAAAGTTTGAGTTGGAGATTTACGTATGTGGAAATTGGAAGGGCAGTTTATTTTTACCTCTGAAAATACATCTTGTAAGTACTTTGTATTGTCAGAATGCTTTACAAGTATTAACGCCTTTCGTTCTCATGACAGACCTGTCAAGTGTGTATTGTTGTTAACTTGTTATTATCGATGAGGAAGGTGAAGCATAGACAGGCTATGATGAGATGAAGGGTGTTACATTCTACCTTTAGGCTTTTGGCAACTGTTTGGTTTATCACATCCTGGAGGATCATCACATTAGATCAATACATTCTTGTATTTTGGGGGACCCACATTCAATCCATGACATTGTCATAGGGTAATGAGAACACACATGGTTCTTTTTTTATCCCCCTTTATGTTTGTCTGTGTTTTCAGAATTTTTTTTTTCTGTGTGTGTGTGTGTGTGTGTAAATACACTGCCTTGGTAATCAGGAAGAATATAATAAAATAACTAGTCTAATTTAAAAGAAACCATTTAACCTGATTTTGATAAGATTTTGGCAAATGCCCATTTTTATGCTTATTTACAATTTTATTTATTTTTTCCCCAAAATAGTTTTTGTCATTATTAAAAGTCTGAATTTTAAACAGATTCTTGAAAGGGTGGCTCATAGCCATCAGCTCATTCAACATTAGCACCTGTCTCATCTCTTATAGCTTTTCCAGAGCAACCACCTTCACCATGAAGCTCCATGAGTTTGCCCAATTAAAATTTGGGCTTCTTCAGCATATTTACTTTTCTAACACATACATCATGGAAAGGATAAATAGATTAGCAAGCCTTTTCTATGTCTTTCCCAATGTTGTCTGGAATCAATTTATTGACCACCTCTTGCAAGTCATTTGTCTGCACCTCTCAGATCATGATTTCCATCATTTTCCTCCGGATTTGGTGGATCTGTTGGTGCTGAGCATAAGATCTCTTCTGAATCTGATTGTTGCATGTTTTGTTTTGTTTTTGGTTTTTTTTAAACTAACACGTAAATAACCATCGGTAGTCTTGACATCAATGTGAGCTTCAATCATAGTCTGTCATTTTTTGACTATGGAACACATTTTGTCATGAGTAAGACCCATGCCATGGAAGTTGGTGAGGCAGCTTTTGCCTTGAACATCCTCAGTAATTAGCTTGAATTTTTTAAATGCAACCTCATCACTTTGCAAATCAGCAAGGCTCACTTCAAAAAACACGACCCTTGAGTCCATCAGATGCAATTTTGGTTCCTTGAGTCCTTGTGACTAGTGTCTTCTCAATATTTCTTATATTGAACATAGCTGGTGCCTTTACACCATACCAATCTTTCTTAGAAAATGGATCAACCACTTTCTTCTTGGCTCCTTTTTGGCCACCTTTTGTAAGGTGCTTCTTCTTGCTGAGTGCCATGGTGGTGCTCAGAGAGCAAAAAGCTATAGTTCTATTTATGAAAAAATTTTTTTAGCAACAATGAATAACTTTTTTAAAAAAACAAGTATCTGGGGGTGGGATGGTGGTTGTTGTTATTATGTGCCGTCAAGTCGCCTATGACTCATAGTGACCCAATATACAACAGCTCTAAATCCTGCTCTATCCTCTGCCAATCTTATTGTGTCTGACACACCTACCCCCATTACCCCAGTCCCTGAATAAGTCCATCTCATAGAAGGTCTTCTCTTGTACTGTCCCTCTATCTTCCCAAGCATGAGGTCCCTCTCCAAGGACTGATCTTTTCTTGCATCATGTCCAAACTATGTCAGATCAAGCTTCAGAATCCTTGCCTCCAAGGAGCAGCCTGGTTTAGCCCCCTCCAGGATGAATCTGTTAATTCTCTTAGCACTCCGTGGTGTCAATACTTTTCTCCAAAACCACAGCTCAAAGTCATCAAGTCTCCATTATCCCTAGTCATTGTCCAGCTCTCTGATGCATATAGCACATGATTGCAAAGACCACAGCCCGTTTCAGGCACACTTTAATCTCCAACTGGGAGGAAAATATGCAACAATGAATGAAAATCCAACTTTTCTGTAAACTTTTATTAAAACCACAATTAAAAAAAATAAAAATACATTTTATTTTGATTTTTAATGAAAGTTTACAGAAAAGTTGGATTTTCATTTATTTTTGCACATTTTCCTCCTCCACTTCCCCTTTCTCCAGTTGACTTTCTTTTCTTTTAAATAGTCATTCATTGTTGCACAATTTCCTCCCTCCTCCCCACTTCCCCAGTCCAATTTGCAATGCACATCTTATTCCTGATTGTGTCATACATATAATGCCTAATCATGTATTCCTTTTAAACAGTTCTTTCCCTCGTCTGTTCCAATGCAGTATTAATGATCTATCCACTCTTTTCCTATTCGCCCTTTAACCTCCCCCTCTCCATCCCAGATCAGTCCTGTTTTATAACAGTGGTGTTATGCAGTATTTGTTGTTTTGTACTTGGGATATTTCACTCTGTATAATGTCCTGCAGAGTCATCCATATTGTGTAATGTTTTACGAGTTCATTGTTTTTCAGTCCTGTATAAGTAGTCTGTTGTGTGATTATACTGTAGTTATTCTATTGATTCATTTGTTGATGGACACTTGGGTTGCTTCCATCTCTTTACTATTGTGAATAACACAGCAATAAACATAGGTGTGCATACATCTGCTTGAGTTGTGGCTCCGGTTTCTGTAGGGTATATTCCTAGTGGTAGAATTGCTGGGTCACTCTTCCTGTTCTCCATCATGGCACAGGATCAAGGCGAAAAAGAGAACCCCATGCGGGAGCTGCGCATCCGCAAGCTCTGCCTCAACATCTGTGTAGGCGAGAGTGGAGACAGGCTGACCCGGGCCGCCAAGGTGTTGGAGCAGCTCACAGGCCAGACTCCTGTGTTCTCCAAAGCTAGATACACTGTCAGATCCTTTGGCATTAGGAGAAATGAAAAAATTGCTGTCCACTGCACAGTCCGAGGGGCCAAGGCAGAGGAAATCTTGGAGAAAGGTCTAAAGGTGCGGGAATATGAGTTAAGAAAAAATAACTTCTCAGATACCGGAAACTTTGGTTTTGGGATCCAGGAGCACATTGATCTTGGGATCAAATATGACCCCAGTATCGGTATCTACGGCCTGGACTTCTATGTGGTGCTGGGTAGGCCAGGTTTCAGCATCGCAGACAAGAAGCGCAGGACAGGCTGCATTGGGGCCAAACACAGAATCAGCAAAGAAAAGGCCATGCGCTGGTTCCAGCAGAAGTATGATGGGATCATCCTTCCTGGCAAATAAATTCCCGTTTCTATCCAAAAGGCCAATAAAATGTTTTCACGAATTGTAAAAAAAAAAAAAAGAATTGCTGGGTCAAATGGTATTTCTATTTATAACTTTTTGAGAAAGTGGCATACTGCCTTCCATAGTGGTTGCACCATTTTACACCTCCATCAGCAGTGAATAAGAGTTTCTATCTCTCCACAGTCTCTCCAGCATTTGTTGTTTGCTGCTGTTGAACTTTACTATTGTTGCTAGAGTAAGATGGTATCTTGTAGTTGTGTTTGCTTTATAAATTTAGATGTGCTAGAGAAAGTTACCTTGTAAGTGTTAGTAATATTTCACTATTATTACTAATAGTGTCCCAACATTACAAAATAATTGCTTTAGTAGTAATATTACATATCTATTCAACAACACAAATTCATTATTTTGGGGCTAATTTTTTAAATGTTTTTCCTCAAAATTCAGCTACAGTGTGTTCTGTTTTTAAGGAGTGACTTGGATATAGGACTTAAAACATGTCTTTGCTCTCAAAGAAGGTATAAGTTAGTGGAAAGGCACACAGTAAACAAATGAATAGCCAACCCCTCCTTATTTAAAAAAAGTGATGAAAATAACTATATAACAAAATACATGCCCTCTCAACAACTTCTAATGTGTAATTCACGGACATTGATTGCATTCTTCAAGTTGTGCCATGTCCTGGCTATCTTTTTCCAAATCATTCTGCCATCATTATTAGAAACTGCTGCCACGTGAACAAAAATGACCCCATCTTCTTCTCACCAACCCATTAACCACTAATTATGTCTGGTTTTCAGAAATTTGTTGTTTTTATATAAGTGAGATCATACAGTATTAGTCCTTTCGTGACTGATAATTGTTGCTCAGCATGATGTGTTCAAGGTTCATCTATGTTGTAGTGTGTATCAGTACTTCATTTCTCTTTATGATTAAATATGTATCAGGACTTTATTTTTCTATGAGAGTAGGGACATATTTTAAGTTCTTTAACCACCACACTTGGAATAGTGTCTGGAATCTAACAGGTGCTCAGTAAAGATATGGTAAATCAATGAATGAATGATGATTCCTTAAAAAACAAAATTAAGCAGTTGATTATGTGTTAGGACTTGATTTCTATGTTGTTGTTAGGTGCCATTGAGTCACCTGTGACCTTATATACAACAACCCTAAAGCCTTCTCTATCCTTCCCTATCTTACTGTCTCCAACATGCCTATTCTCATTACCTGAGTGACTGAATCAGTTAATCTCATCAAGGGTCTTTTTCTCTTGCGCTGTCCCTCCACCTTCCCAAACATGATGTCCCTCTCCAAGGACTGGTCCCTCCTTGCAACATGTCCAAAGTATGTCAGACGAAGCTTCAGAATCCTTGCCTCCAAGGACCAGCGGGGTGTCACCTTCTCCAGGAGGAA